GAGAGAGAGAGAGAGAGAGAGAGAGAGAGAGAGAGAGAGAGAGAGAGAGAGAGAGAGAAAGAGAGAATCATATTATGACGATACGTACGCGGATGCATAGATCGATCGTCAGTCCAATCCGTCTGATGTATGCATTCGCATACGCGCCCGTTTACACATACACACGTGTACAAGTATATGTAAGTACACTGAGTTTCAAAACGGTTTAAGCACTCTTTTTCTCAATGCAATCTGAGACGATGATCCAATGAGAAAACATGAGGCTCCTGGCTACTCTTGATCGATGACGTCAGAAGCGAAGAAATGCAAGTCCGAAATTTCTGCAAAATAAAAAGATATATCTAAAAGATCATACATGCACAATCGATTAAGTATACCTCTGAAATACTTCTTTCCTCTTGCTCCAATGATCAATCAATAACCGTAAAATTAATGTGACAAGCAACCTTCCTTTTTAACCTACATTTCCTCACGATTTTATCACGTTAATTTTACGGTTACTTAGTGATTATTAGAGCAAAAGAAAATGCTTGACGTATTTTAGAGGTATGTTTAATCGATTGCAAGTGTCATTTTTTTATATATCTTTTCATTTTGATGCGCTTTGCAGGAATTTTGGGCATATATTTTCTCGTTTTTGACGTCGTAAATCAAGATGACTACGGCGAGTAGCCAGAAGCTTTAAGGGGATGCTGAAAACTTTACCGACAAAATAAATAATGACATTTTTCTGCAAAGTTTACGTCGTATTGGTTGTACAGAAATGCTTTTTCGCAATGAAAAAATAAATAGGAGCATTACTCAATATGCGAGAAAAACGAAAAAGAAAATTTTTAAGTGTAAAATCTCAAACTGTCAACGTAATATTTGTCTAATCCAAAAGTTTCGTAACAACACACATTTACGTAAGTTCTGTGTGTACAAGAAATACGAAAAGCATAGATGTGTTAGATTGTCTCTACGTTATCGACGATTTTTGGAATTCGTCATTTGTTTCAGCATCCCCTTAACTTTTAGGAATTCGTCAAAAACTTGTTCCTTCATTAGATCATTGGCTGACATTCCAACACTGCAGAATAAAGTAACACTGAAGTATATTAAAACAACACGTTAATGCATCCCCACTTTTATACCACACCATACTGGCAGAAACGATATTTATCTAACTTCTTTTCGACATTAACATCTGAAGTTCGATTCAGGGCATATGTGTATTACATATGTGTATTAATTCAAACTACCAGCATAGTGCATTAAAAGCTCGGACTATTAACGTATTGTTTTAACACACTTCATTTCGTAGTGACACTGCAAAAAAAAAGTAGTGTATGGAAAAAGTGAGTGTGTGTGAGTTTCGAAACCATTTTGAAACTCAGTGTACATGCACACATATACGTAACATGCACATACGGCAAACACACATATACACACACATACGACATGAATATATTGTGATCGCGCGTGCACTTCGTAGACAGGTGCATGCGGCTACGAAGGAAACTTTTATTATTGCGTACACCGTGTATTCATGCGCTGACGAAGGACAAATTATTATTACGATTAATGGACTATCGAACACCGGAAGAAATACCGTTCGCCGATCGATGCTACCGAAATTCCGCCGCTTGATCTTCACGGAATTCGGCGCATTTGAGCAATCCTTTTGTACCTTCAATCGTATATCGATTCGCGGTTTTTTGGCATTGTCAATAAAAATTCGCGCGATTGCCATTACACCGTTGCTACCTTTCGAGAGTCCTCACTTCTGCGGACTTTTGTATCTCTCGGTCGGCCGTCAACGAACGTTCTCGGACAAGTGCAATTGCCGGATTAATTAAGGCTGAATCGAAGAGACCAAGCTGATGGCTCGTCTTCTCATTTCAGGAGACGTCCAATTACTTCCAGTGTCAATTTCCTCATTTTGTCTCGTGGTCAGACGATTCGTCCAGTCCTGCATCAAGATTTGCGATTAAAGGGCAAACAAACGATTAGCGAGCGGTCCCTTCGTCGCAAAGCGCAGAGATTTTTCTCGACAGAAAAGAGAGAGAGCGAGCGAGAGAGAGAGAGAGAGAGTGTGTGTGTGTGTGTGTGTGTGTGTGTGTATGTATGTGAGACGAGCAGCGTGATCTTCGTCTCTTCGATCATTACCGCGAGATCGATTTTACTGAAAATAACGAATCATCGTGCCGTATTATGTATAGAGGTTTTAAGGAGAAGCCAAGTTACAGCAAGCACACTTCTACAATTCAATTGTACACTTCCTGTTCACTCATTTGTCGTTTGTAGATAGTTTTCGGGCAACTTCTGGAAGAAAAAATGAATTACTATTCTAGCAAATTAACGAGAAATATCATTACAATAGTTTTCCGTATTGATGAATGTATGTATATGTACACATATACATATGTATATAAATTGTAAACTTATTACGTTTATGTTTCATAAACGAAGAAACGAATCGAAAAGATTTGGGAGATTATTAAGCCAATCATTAGTTTTCAAGATTAACCATCGACAATTTTACGAAAAACAACGTTCTTTTGATATTTCTCGCAGAGAGCGCTGTCGTGTTTGGAAAAAAATTGCAAAAGAGTTTCGTTTGAGCGAATAAAAATAAGTGAAGAAGGAGTGTAAACGAAAGAAATGTCCGCGGGTGTTCGGCATTCATGTAACTTTGATTTTTGCGCTCGATCGAGATTTCGAATCGATTGGAATCGAGAGAGAGACGCGATTGCCCTTCGGGTGCGTGAAGCCGATGGTGTAACAAATGTTTACTCGCTTCTTTGCGCAACGGTCATCCTCATATTGTACCGTTAATTTGCTACAACTACCATGTAAAATCATTTATATTTGCATATGATTAATATGTTTTAATTATAAGATATTGGCTTTTTTGTCCCTTGGAGAATCACCTCATCCATCACACAGATTCCCGTCTATTTCCAAATCACGCCAAGCTCGAGTGAAGAAAGACGAAATGACATACTGTACGTGGTGATGGCGCACGTATGTAACAATTTCATGAGGATACGGTGTTTCAGCAATTGTCAAAGAAGGAATACATGAGTTACGTACATTACAGATACAGCCGGTAGTAGGACAATGCCGTCCTTGCGACTCATTGGTGTATAAGTACCGGGGAGTTCCTCGACGGGATCGAATACATTTTCTCGAAATTTCGTATTAACATTCTCCATTGTGAGTAAATACATTTAAGCGAGGTGTTATCAGTTAGAACAAAGTTTCTGCAATCTTTGATACACTGTTTCAGATAGTAAAAACAATTTTCAAACAAGTTGGCTACTATTTAAGGACCAGCAAGATTGTGGAGACCTCTCGCGGAGACACCTGAACTGCAAATCAGGATGTACAGGATTTCATATGTGGCCTTCTTATCCTGAGTCGCTAGTCAACTTGACCCGGAATAAGATGATCACGCAGCAGCATGTTCGTATTTCGGTTATTACAGAAGAAGCAGGCTCATTGCAAGCGTTTAAAATATCAAAAAAGGTTAGTTCGTGTTTTTTTATTCAGTCATTCACAACGATTTTAGTTGTCTGAGGAGTTGTAACTTCGAAATTCTGAAAAAATATGCCATCTAACCCCGGTTTCCCCTATTAGCACACGATCGCAAATATCCTTTTTATGATGACGTAAACGCGATTTTTTTCATTAAACCGTGCACCGGTCGATCCATACATGATCGATCGGGCGACGTACACACACACATACTCGTCGAGTGTTACAACGTTCTCGGCGACTCGCTAATGCCAAAGGCAGCCGAGCATAGAGCCGCTTTGAAAGTGAGATTAATCGTGCGAGACCTATCCTTACTGTGAGTCATAAGGATCTCGCAATTATAGCGTCATAATTGAATTACAAGGAAGGCGCTCGCGCGCGAGCGCGCATTCCTTGCCGACACACGCACACACGCACACACACGCCGAAAGCGTTATTTATCATTCGTTCCGCTTCGGAGCCGGTTCCGGGATGAGGATACTCCGCTCCTCTTTCTCTCAGATGGAATTCCATCTTGCGGGTAAGGGCTTACGTGTATTTCATTTTTCGGCGAAGCAAAGCTCGAGGACGAGGTGTACTTTGCTCTCATTTTTTCGTTATGCGAATGCGTTATTTTAATTCAAGCAATTGACGTGTGCGGATTCGAACGAACGTCGTGAACACAAAGAACCGTTGCGGCGATCTTCACGATCCGCCGATTACGGAGCGAGAGATGACATTAAGGATGACTTGAATTGAACTCTGAATGTCGGTGATTCCCCTGTATCGTCTCATCATCTGTATCATCTGTATCCCTAGAGGGGATATTCTTCGGCATACCTGTATTAGCGCGGCTGCATACGAATGATTATACAACGCGTCCGGAAATACTTGATTGGCGGTTAATTATCGGCATTGTTATCGCATGATAACACAATGGTCTCTGGAAACGTGGTAGGAAATTCAAAGTTGCTGATTTTTGACAAGGTGTCCTGCGCCTGAGAAGCGATCGTTTCTAACCACTTGTCGCTAGCTCGATATTTTCCACTAGCCATTTATTTCATTCTTGCATCAACTCAACACACGGTTTAAGATTACTCGTCACGAAACTCTTTACGGATATTTACGTATTTACGGTATTTACGGATAACTCGAGTGCAGACAAGATGAGAATATATGGGAAGGCATTATTATTGTTTTCTTGTAAGTAACTTGGTCCCGATAACATCAGATAGGTCCAAGAGGACGTCACAGGAGCCGGACAGAATGGAAATTTGAAAACGGCATCGTTGCAATGGATTGGCTCTTACAATCTTTCGACGCTAATCTCATTGAAAATGTATAGGCAATCATCAAGTTTTGGAAAAAACGAGTTTTCACTTTGAAGCAGTTGTCGTATCAGCGAAAAATTTCGTTGAGAACATGCTTTGAGACTGCCAAGGTATATTTAACAATAAAGGAAACTAGACGTCGTACTAGATAAACACATTTTAGAGCATATAATTAAGGCCCCTCGCATTGTCTATCTCTTTTTAATGACGTCAGAAGCGAGAAAATGCATGCTAAAAGTTCTTGCGAAATACGTTGAAATAAAAATATATATCCATAAAGTAACACTTGCGATCGATTAAACAAATTTGTAAGATATTCCATGCACTCTCCATTCGCTCTAACAATCAATAATTTGTCGTGAATTGACGTAACATACAATTCATCTTCTTAACCTATTTCTTCGCCTATTTCTATTCAGATTAATTTACAATAAATTATTGATTGTTAGAGCAAAAGGAGAGCGCACGGAATATCTTACAAACTTGTTTAATCGATTGCAAACGTTACTTTATGGATATATATTTTTATTTTAACGTATTTCGCAAGAATTTTTAGCATACATGTTCTCGCTTCTGACGTCATTAAAAAGAGATAGACAATGCGAGGGGCCTTAAGATATTAAACGTTCATAATTTTGAAAAAAAGGTTTTATATTCTAGGAAAAACACTCTTAGCTACTGTAGCTCTTGCTACTGCCTGTCGATTAGAAATGAAGATTGCATGTTGATTGTTGGAGCAAAACAAGTTTCCGGAATATTTTTCAAATTTTCCGCAGAAAATTCCAAGTTGCCGATTTCCGGTAAGCACAAAAATGTCCTCTTCTCGAGGAGCAATCGTCACTAGCTCGGTATTTTCCGTTTATCTTCTTCTGTCAGCTCAGTACGTAGCTTCGCACACGGTGTATCGTATATAATTTCGCGAACACAACTGTGATATCAGCAGCGCGTCGTACCGCATTCCCGCAGTTTCAAATAAGATAATCTGGACTCGCGAATTGAGTGATGCTAGAATCAGGTAACCTCGAGACGTTACACATAGACGCTGCCGTTTAGCCCCGCGATGTCGATGGTGTCGATCATTTTTGTGCAAGTAGCGATAAATACAATGTTTGAGAAAGGTCGCGCGATGACGTCGTGCTCCGACTCATCGCTAATAACGCGTCATTATTGCGCTGCTTATGAACAACTATAATTCTAAAATCGACAACTTTATAGCGGGAATACATTCCGCCCAATCCTCACAAACAAGTGACGATAAATAATTATTACTCATGTTGAGTTCCATCGAGTTCCTCGCTACGCTTGCACCTCTCGTTTGTCCCGTTGATTTGAGGAGAGAAATAAATTACCGAGACGAAAACTCGACTCAAAATATGAAAAAGAAGAATGTAATGATATTCTCTATGGATCTGAAAACATGTTTTACAGCCGCGAGAATTAATTCGCAATGTATTTTAAATAATATTCCTCGTGCTTTGTCAATATTGAAAGTTACGCTGCGACGTCGCGTAAGTGATAAAGGTGAAAACTGTCAAAATTTTATCGGTCGTGTTGCATCGTGTCACGCAAAGAAAATGAGATAACGTTATACATAAATATAAGTGTCTGCCGAAATATTATTATATTTTGCAGTTATGAGGAGCTGTGTAACGAACGAGTAAAAGATAAGAACCGTCCGTTCGAAAAAAGAGTGAGATAAATGAATTCTTCTTCAATGATCTTGACATATGTTATCAAGGTCATTATGCTGAATAACGTGCAAAAAGTTTTAGCGTTGTTTATCAAGGATTAATAAAAAAATTTTATAAATAGAATATACTTTTTGGGGATATTGTATACAGAATATCCCAGAACAACCTCTCAAGTTCTCGTGGAGGCATAATATGGATTGAGGTGAACATAAAAATCAAAGAAGATTGGCGAACAGCCGCTCGCAATAATATGTTCTCTAATTGATAACTAAAAATTTACGAAATTATTAGGAAAAAGATAGAGGACTTTTTCGTTCAGTTTGATCTAATGTACAAATATACGACAGTAGATGTCGTCACTGCAGCTCATCTACTATATCTCGCGTGATCATTCGCAAATTTTCTTTAATATCCCGATAATTATTGCGAATATCGCAAAACGGTACAGGACTCTTATGTTCACCTTAATTCACCGTATCATGTATCCACGAAAGTTTCGGAGGTTGTTCTAGGACACTCTGTATATATTTAAGAAGCGGACTCTTACTCTACGGATGAGGTATTTGTCTTCATTCTGCAAAAAAACCTAATTTGAAACATTTTAGCATACGTTATCAAGACATTTTACGTCATTATACGAATTTTTGTTGATGCCAATATCAAAGTGATATTAAAGGATTAGGACCCTGTATACGAGTGCATTTTAAATGTATATCCGAAAAGTACGTTTTATTTACGAAAAAATTCTTTTGCTAATAAATTGTTGATAAACAATAATTGATGACTGAAACTTTTTGAATGTTATTCAGCATAATAATCTTGATAACATAATCTGTGAGGTCGCAAAAGAGAAATCAATTCTGTCATTCGGTCTCGCCGTATTGTGTAGTTATATTTACTAAATGAATCGAATTGTTAAATAACTGATCGTTCGTAAAGTGGTACACGATGGTACCAGCGTAAAGCGACGAAACGCAAAGCGAAAACCCGCATGATTACTGTCGGCAAACCGACGATCGATATTCCCCCCAGCTGTCTTATCACGGTCATTGTACACGATGTTCCGGCGATGCACTCATTCGACGCCTCTTCCGTTCTGAATCTAAGCCATGGACGATCCGACTATGACCTCGAGACGTTAACCAAGTTGTTCGGATATCTCTAATCTCAGACTGTCTGGGTATTAGAGATCGATTCCAATCTAAAAATTCAAAACTGTACTATTCGAATAATCACGTCTAGATTATAAGAAAATATCCAGAACTGTGCATACGTACGAGATCCGAACCCGAAATCGTATTTTGATGTCTCTGTCAATTCGAAATAAGAAAATAAGTAAATAATAAAGAAACGGTTTGACTTAGTAACGAAATTATCCGAAATATATTCAGATATATAAATAGACACAAGAGGTAATAAAGAGACATTGTTTCCGGTTAAGACCTCTGGCTACTCGTCGCGACCATCTTGACTTACGACGTCAGGAGTGAGAAAACACACGTTTAAAATTCTTGCAAAATGCATAGAAACAAAAAGATGTTTTCACAAAATAATGCTTGCAATTGATCGAGTAAATCGTCCGCATACATTCCTTTTGCCCTAATAATCTATAAATAACCGTAAATTTAATGTGATAGAATCACGTAAATTCAAAATAAAAGTTGCATTTCACGTTAATTTTACAATTACTTATTAGTTATTTATACGAATATCTATATATTTGACACATCTGCTCGATCTGCTTGAAATTTTCCTGAACGGAGCAAATATTCGGTATGTACGAGCTGTAGAACTTGCATCAAACAATTATTTAATTAACTGACAGCTGGAATGTCCTAGCATTGATCAAGGATTGTATGCAGCCTTCGGCGAAGTTGCACGATCAATTCAAAATTGATCGCCGCGAAATTTTCGGAGATTCCTCCTCATCTCGAAACTTGTTTCTCAACTGCAGCCTCGATAAAAAATTCGAATATCGCGTGAGTCAGGCGCGTGAGTCGAAAGTGATGACTAACACCGTTATTTCCATTGAGTAATTAGTGATCCGAGTCGCGGCGATCGAAAGAATTCTCTTTCTTTCTCATCGAAGCGAACGGCCGGATCGCAACCGATCGTACGCTATATTAAGTCGATTATATAGTATCGATCGAGTTCTTCGATGTACATTGACGATGCGTCGGCACTTATGTCAGATCGCCCGAACTCGATCGACAATGAGAAAGCTGCCACACTTGCGCGACCATAATCACGGTATTTGCACACTCGATGACCTTGAAGGTATCCGTACCGCCCTCGGAGCCTTGAACTTGCACAAACTTGGCAACGGTTCGAAGAGTCGATCTACTTATATCCCGCACTCGCGAATTTGAGACCGTCTCGTTGCAATATTCGCGCACAATCCTCGCCATTTTTATTCGTGGAACTCGCGTAAATTTGTCCCGCATTTACCCCGCATTTCCGTTAAACATGCGCCCTCTAATTCGCCCATTGTCACTAACCAGACAGACAGACAGACAGGTGTACGTAAATATGACTTTACTAGTCGTGATTTGCGTCTCCTATGAGTGGCGCACATATTTGTTACATAGAATGACAAAATAGAAATACGTAAGAAATGATGAAAATTTGCTCAGAACTGTCAGCAAGATGCAATGTTTTTCATTCCAAATCTGAGTATAGTTTTTAGTAAATTTTCATCTATATAACAAAAAATTTACATTATTGTATGATGTAAATTTAATGATTAATTCAACACAGTATATTTGCCTCATTAATGTAATTAAACAAAAAAATTTATCAAGTTTTTATCATCGACTCTCTCATATTGTGATAATCATGAGAGTCTACCTAGGTATCGATCAAACACACTCGGTAAGCTTATACACCGCCGAAAAGGAAACGAGAACGCTATATCCGAAATCCCAGAGTCCGACAGATGATTTCTCTCGCAAACAATTTTCTACCAGTGTCAATCGATGAAGTTTCAACGAAAGCTTTTCTCTCTCTTTCTCTTTTGAGCGCAAGGTGCCTCTCTCACGCGATACGTTATTATATTACGCACGGCGTCTCGTAAAGTCCCGTTATCGCGTTAATGTTCCGTGACCGCAAATGCACATTGTTGTCTATCGTTTCTCGCGGGGATGATTTTTTTCCGCATTATCCGCGCGAAGAACAACGCAATATCGACGCGCTCCGATCCAGAGAGAGATACGCGCGCCCGGCGCATCCTGTTATGCGCGATTTTCTTTCGTGGCCTTTGGCATGGTCGAAGGCATGATTTGATCTGTGCACGTTATTCCGTTTCCGGGTGCGTGCTGCGGACTATTAGCGCAGACTAAATACCCCTTCCTCTCGGAGTCGCTTGAAAAATCGTATCGTCGATCGCACTCGCTCAGTTAATCCTCGCAAGTCGCACGAGGATGATATCTGGCTGAAGTAAAGTTTAATTACGAGCCAAGCAATATACCCAAGTTATAAGTCATTATTATTAATATGATTTTCAGAGAGACAATTGTCCATAATACAAATTCCTAAAAGGACAGTAAAAGCCAGCTGTTGGATGTAAATAAAAGATTTTAATAATGTACGATAATACACAATATGTTCCAAATGTTCCGTAATATTGTACATTATGAAAATATCTTATTCACATCCAACTAGGCATTTACTGTCCTTTTAGAAATTTCTATTACGATTTGTAATTTTGTAAAGCCCTTTATCATTAAAGGTCAGTCTTTCTCTGCGGTGTAACGTTGACGATCACGATACAAATCCACAACGTCTTCGAACGTACCGTCCCCTGGTTGCGTGACACCTTCGTCGAAGAGCGCCGTTTCATAAGGCTATTCCATCCTCCGGCGGAGCCGTCGATAACGTCCACGGCGATTTCTGTGCCGTGAGTCGAGAGAGAGAGAGAGAGAGAGAGAGAGAGAGAGAGAGAGAGAGAGAGAGAGAGAGAGAGAGA